TCGTTAGGGGGTTTCTCGGGGTACTAGCGTGTTGGAACAACATTTTGTACGACATCGCTACAGCAACTTGCTGCAACTAACAGCAACTGTAGTGCAACGAACAGCAACACAGGTTGCAACTTAGTGAAGGTCGTTTGTGTGTCATCGCTCAACACGCAAGCGACATTCACGAACGATCAACGTTCGAGTGACATTCACGGTGGACCACACGAGGGGCAGTGACGTTCTTTATATTGTATTGTAATTGCACGTCTGTGCGGTTTGAGAGGTTGAGAGGATGCTGTGCTGGACATCAGCATAAGGCGAACGATGGATGGATTCGCAACGGCGCCAGACGATCGGGCGCTCGCAGCGGTGTCCGAGGATCAGGTGCCGACAACGGTGTCAAAGCATGGGGCTGTCTTATTTAATTTATACACACAAGGTAGGTCTGGACACATGATGTAGGTATGTAGTATACACGCGTTACTATCTACTAATGCTGCACTACTTCTCATGACAGTGTTGGGAAACGTGAAAAGTGATTTCATGCTTGTGTGTTAGCGGTTGTAGTGGCTGTTTTTGGCTACCAGTGACGACTGGAATGTTGCTAAGGTCGCGTCACTGAGGTGGTTGAGCCGTACTTCTTCATTGATTGCGGTTGTAGGTGGCTTCGACCAGGCTGCAAGCTCGTCTGTGAATGGTGCCAATGCAACGAGTGCGTTTCTCGACGTCACTCGAGACACTAGCAGATAGGTTTGTTGCGGTTTATTGACGACCCGCTGCTTGGATCGCCAGTTCATGACGACCATTGACTGCAGCGTCTCTCCCTGCACTTTGTACACGGTGGAGCCCACTGCACAGACAAACGGCAGTTGTTGCGGTTTGACCGTGATTGCACGCGGACAGCCGTCTGGTGCTTTCGGCAGCGTGATCGTTGCTTTCTGAAACGCTTCGGTGGCGAAGAACACTGGGAAGAGATCAGGGTCGAGACCCGGTCGGATCGCCACGGCGTGCGGCCGCTGTGGCAAGCGAAGCACGGCGTAATCTGGTGATCGGCTCGGTAGCTGTACAATGGTGTTTGTGCCACCGTCGCGCACGAGTCGGAACAACGTGTCCGGCGGAAAATGCACGGACTCAAGGGTGCCCAACGTGCCGTTTGCGACACCCTTGGCGGTTGCGACGTTCTGGGTAACTTGCACGGGCATGCCGAGGATAAGGTCCAAGTAGGGCGCCATGCGTCCGAAGCGGTTGTCGGGGAGGCTGAAGACGTACTTGATGTCGCTGTTGCTGAGTCCGTTGAGCGCGCCATTAAAGTTAGCGAAAACGCGCACAGGGAAAGAATCGGTGGGTAGCATGGCTGCCGTTTGCGCAACGAACGCGTTGTTTACAGCCAGTCTTGTGGCGTTCTCGGGCGTCACGAATACAACATGGGCGCCGACATCGTCGCCCCTTGCTACTGCCGCTGGTGCAGCAGCAGCAGCAGCAGCGTGGTGCTCGTTGGGCTGCGCGACTACTCGACTATTGATGAGTTTGACGAATGCTGGCGTCCAGTTACCGAGCCGCGCGAGGCGGCAGCCGTCGCCCCACTCGGGGTCGCTCCGGAAGCGCACTGATTCTTCGAGTACTACAACGGTGGTGAATTTCCGCCACAGGTCGAATCCTTCAACGTCGACAGTTGTCGGCTTTCGTTTTACAGCAGGGTCAAGGTAGATGGGGTCGGCCTTCACGGGCGGCATCTGGAGGAAATCACCAACTAGCACTATGTGCACACCACCAAACGGCACGTCGGGCACCCGCTTGTAGCAGCGCAGCAACTTGTCCAGCCGCAGCCACTCGGTTTTCTTCATCATTGAAATCTCGTCGATAACGAGCAGGTCGAGCGGCCCGAAGTGCTTTTCGCGAATGGCGTGCTTCAAGCGCATCATGAAGCTCGCGAGTGTGCGTCCACCGATCAGTGTTGCAGCCTTGCCCGTTAGAGCCGTCTTGACAACGGTGTCACTACGGTGCCAGCTCTCGCAGAACGCGTCAACTGCGTTGATCACGCGGCTCTTGCCGGTGCCACCGGCGCCGCCGAGGAACATCAGCAGCTGGGAGTCGTGAAAGTGGTTTTCGAAGATACCGGAACAATAGTCGCCGCCGTTGTCATTGGTTTGCAGACCGTTGATCTCTTGCTGGAGAAAGCGCCGTAGTAACGCGGTCGTGATGAGCGCAAATGCCGCGTGCTGCCGCTGGTTGAGTGTGAATGCTCGTGACACTTCATCAATTGACGAATAGGACCGGATCATACGTGGGCCACTGTTCGGCTGAGTCAGTGGCGACCACTCATGTCCTGATTCTAATGCGTTCTTAAGGAGTTCGATGACTTCTGTGGGCCGCTCGTTGAGGTATTGCTCCGACCTCTGCGGTTCGGCCTCGTCTTTTGAAGTGTCCTTTACAAATCGCTGGAGCTCGTCGACGGAGAAGTTGGGAACTGAATTATGACTACACAAATTTGCGGCCGTACCAGCCGTACTGTTCGCCACCACATTCAACAAATGAGAATAGTCGCCATTCTGCCTTGAGCTTGGGAAAACCGGCAGACTCGACTCATCAGTGTTTTCGTCCATGGTGGTATCGTCATTTTTACAATCGTGATTGCAGGCATCGAAAAAATGGTCAAACGTATCGATAACAGGATTTGCCGATGCGGATTCGGCTGCGCGGTCAAGTGCAGCATCAACATCGCCTTGTGTCCCGATAATTTCGTCGTCATCACTTTCAGCATCGCTGTCGGTCCGTCCGTTGACGCCATCGACACAAGCTTCGGCACACTCTTTCGCCTGCTTTGCTGCTCTGTGGTAATCGTCCATGTTAGCCATAACCTCGCAAGTAAACTTCGACCGCGTGGGCTCCCACTGCGAAAACGCGTCGATCCAGCATGCGCCGTTGGTTGGATCGGTCACCAGGTCTGACACGGTACGGAATGACTTGAACAACACGAGAGCACATTGACTTCGCTTTACAACGAGCTCGTGAGGTGAATCGCGATCCACATATGGCATGCGAAAGCCAACGACGTTAGGAACAACCTCATCAACGTGTGTACCGACGCAGTGGGTGTCAAACAGTGGGTGGTCCGGTAGGAACAGCACATGCTCTGAAGACGATTGCGTCCGCTTACGACGGAAATGCTTGGCTACGTACTCGTACAGGTTGAAGTGGTTCAGCGGCGATGGCCGAAACATGTAGTCATCTAGGATCGACGCCGCGCGGAAGGTGATGTTCGAGTCGTGCTCGCGTAACTCGAGGAGATCACACACATGCGCAGATTGATCGACGAGCTCATCGAGCACAGCTCGAAGAGGAAGTGTTGCACACGGAGTGCTCATGAACGAGCATGAACCTCGAAGCACGTAGAGGGCGGTAAGCGGTCCGGCGATCTCACGCCGGTTTGTGATTGCAAATAACAGCGATGAAACGCGTTTGCGTCCGGTTGCAGTTCGTTCAACAGCAGTGGTATCTTCATTACGCGCTTCACGTAGCCGACGCCGTTGAAACGCGGCGAGAGCAACCGCCGTGATCGAGTCGACGTGCTCTTGCATCTTCGTCACGTACTTTGTTGCGTAGTATATGCGCATCAGCGCGTTGAGCCCTCCGATCATTACTTGAATGTCGTGATTCGACTTGAACGCCAGCATCATCTCGTTGTTAAAGCCATTAACGTACTCGAACGGGGCTCGTCGCGCGAGCGTCACACCGTCACTCGAGCAACATGTTCGTTCAGCGCGAGGGCGTGGATAACCATAGCGACATCGTCCGGATAATGCAGAGCGACTCTTTTTAAAACAGCTCCCTACGTGGGACCACCAGTGCAGATTTAGCATGAAGACAAGTAGTGATACCGCGAAGGCAAGAGCACGAGTTGCAAGTCGCTCATCGTCAACCGACGGAGGCAACAATACGAGAGCTCTACCGACGGGATCGCCTTGAAAAGCATCGTCCACGCGTCGCTCACGTCGACTTGGAGCACGATTCAAACCTCGTAGGAACTTGCCGTACGTGTCGGTATCGTCGTTGGTGCCGTCACCGTCTGTGTCCTTTTGCACCTCGAAAAAATGCAAGTCGCGGCGATAGACCGCGGACTTCGCAGCCGCAGCACTTCCACGACACGGTGTCTCCATTCGCACGGCTGCTGCCAGCTCGCCGAACGAGTATGGACGCATGGGGGGCGGCCATGATGGTGGTCGATGGTCCAACAAAAGGCGACGAATAACGTGTTGGGAACTGAGCGCCGTGGCGCAGCCCGAGCATTTCACAAGCATCGGCTCGCCGCAATGACGACTATGCTCGCGGTATATTTTCTGAGGGTCTTCATAGGCCTCGGTCGGGATCGGCAGTTCCTGCAGGTCGGCGTATGAATGTCCACAGAATACACAAGACGATTCTTTAATACACAGCGGCATCGATGTCGTCACGATGCTGTCTGCGAATGCCTCGATGTCTCGAAAATATTGATCGCCGTGGACAGCTAATGTTTGGTCAAATGCGTTGGTATTTGGTGGCACGTCGGCTAACCATATCAAGAAGTGAGCGTGCAAGGTTCCACCGCCTTGGGTCTCGACCATGCCGAAATACGCTTTCACGTCTCCAAAAAGACCGTCGAACGGCTTCGTTTTCATGCGGTTAACCGGTATGCCGAGCACGTGCTCAATGAAGGCGTCGACGTTTCGCACGAATAGTCGAGCAGAAGCAACGTCATTGCGCATGCTCGCGCTGTGGAGAGCCGATCGTCCAGGTGGCTCACTTAACGCGGCATCAAACAGTGTATCGACAGACGTAATACCACAGTACTGCGCCATCACAAACGATTCAGCAACATTTGGTGTCAGCGTAACAAACAGTGCTGGCAGTCCAAATCGTGCTTGGTAGGCGAATGCCCGTCGTCGACATTGAGCGCGCTCACCGTCGCTACCCCACATTGCACTACCGCTCAACTCGACCGTTCGAAGAAAGTCGGTCGTGCTGGAACCGTGTCCTCGTGCATGCGTTGTGCGTCCCTGGCGCTGCATCTCTTTTTCAGTTAGCGCTTGCATTAGCGCTTCTTCGGTGATATCGCTGTAGCGTTCAAATACAGCAGTATCCCGTCGACACTTAAGGGCTACATGGGTATACATTTTCTGGACGGATAGGTAGTCGAAACTTGCGAGCGTGAACAGTTCATCTTCGGCGAAACGCCTCGAGCTCAGCATGCTGTAATGTCGTATACATGCCTCGACTGATACAGGTACATGACGGTGTTCGCCCGGATGGCCTCGGCCATAAGGAAACAAGTGGGGAAACATACGCGCAAAGAGCGCGTTATCGTGGTGGGCAAATTGACTTGAATGACGAACGAGAAATTGCGGTTGCGATGTGGTCAGCGTCGGGTGCTCGGCGGCAACAGAGGCGCCCTGCGCGCTAACCTCTCGATCGTCCGAAATGAACACAACTCGACGCTCAACGAAATCGGTCTCGCGAGCTGACACATCGTTCTCCGACACGTTGCCCACCCGGCCGTGATCGGCGTCTATCTCCGTAGCTTCCACATTAGCATCAGCATCTTCGACGATGAAGTTATCTGCGATGATGTCGTTTGTGGCCCCTGAGAAGTCGATGTCAACGTGTTCGTAGAAGACATTGTGCTGCTGGTAGAAACCCAGTACGTCGTCAACAACCTGCCTGCGCACGCGGTGCATCTGACGGACGCACGCCTGTTGCTCGGTCGTGAACGGCCCGGCCAACACGACACGATAGCACGTAATATTAGCCACGGGAATCGGCAGCAGCGTCGCGGGTGGACCCGGCGTAGAATCGAATGCCAAGCAATGTGAACGAATCGCACGGTGAGCACCGCCTCGCATTACGCGTGTGACCGCGACGATAGACACTGTTTGTGTCATGAATCGCTCGGGAAGCGTCATATCCACGAAGCGGGTTGGCAGCGTGCCTACATAGAACCCGTTCTTGATGGAAAACTTCGGGATTGTCATTTTGATTAGACTACCATTGCACTCTTCACAGACTTGCAAATACCCAGCCCCGTGAATTCCACCCTTAGATAGCAGCATATCGTGCAAGGACAAAAACATTGTGGAACAATCGTATTCCGCGACCAGCTCAACGGGTAAATCTTCATTGGAACTCGTAAGCAGCGAACGGATTTCATGAATGCGGTCTTCATCGGCGATATCAATCAAGTGAATCGACTTGCGGAGTGTGATTCGATCGCAAACTGCACAAACAGCCTCATCTAGACCATCAGCTCCTAATGCCAGTCTTAGACGCTGTAGAACGTCATGTTTCGTCGCAGCGGACACTGGATGTAATCGCCGGATCGCGCCGTCCGCCCACGCGCTGTGGCACTGCTCAAAAGTTGTTACTCGTGAGCCTGCGACTGTTTCCACGGCTAATAT